CAGACAGACAGACAGACAGACAGACAGACAGACAGACAGACAGACAGACAGACAGACAGACAGACAGACAGACAGACAGACAGACAGAGGAACGAACAAACCAACCCGGAGACCAGGGATTGGCGATCCCCGTAAGGTTCCAATGGGTTGAGCGTGGCATGGAGCGGAGCAACAAGAGGGTTGTCTACCGGTCGGTAACTTTGACCACGAAATTTTAGTAAGAACGAGTGACAAAACAAGTGCTTACCGTGAAGGGTATTTCATTGTCAATATATTTTAAATATACAAAAAAGTGATAGCTGTATGCCACTTGTTGTCAGCGATTTTAAAACAAAGTAAAACAGATAAGGGTTATTCAGCCCACTTACCGAATCGCCAAAACAGTGTGGACTCTCGATTGGGAACACACAACTTCGAGAAAACCGACCAAATCTCCACGGCTAAGTTCTCCTGCTATACGTCGAGCGCCGTCTGATTGACTGTCCACTTGTCTTAGTCGACCGCTTAGTACGACGAACACATGATTGGCGGGATCACCTCGCCTAAATGACCAGCAATGATTAGTGAAAGCATCAGCAAGAATAAACGTTCGCAAAACGAACAAACATGAGTGTGCATGATAAAATGTTGGAGAAAGACGGTGTGAAATAAAGAAATCGGATACGCTCACAAGAGACTTATGGGAAATGGAGAAATTGTCATTAATTATTCGCCCGTTCAAACTGAGAATATGATGTTATTGCAACATCCGGTAGTCCGTATGGCATCCAATGTATGCCCTCGTGATCTGAACATTTCTGCTACATGGTGCAAAGAAACAGGAGTTACGTGTGAAGCCAAACACATCGGTTTATTTGAGTACAACTGTTCATTTGGTGTTCCACGAGTCTGGTTTGTTCGAATTGTCAGGAAAATGGGGTAGCGTATTAACCTAATTGGTAAACTGTGGTGTGTGGCGTGTATTACTTATATTATCTGATCGGCTCCCTTAGCGTTCGTTTTATCTAAGCGGGTGGGGGTCGGAAGAAGGACGGGAACGACCTAGCTTGACAAACCTGAACAGATGATAAAGTCATGCAATTCGGATTCGTAAACTGTGTTTCTGAAATAGCTTCTATCCACTGCCATTAAATTTCTTAACAATTGGACAAACGTAATCCTTCCTACCTACAGGAAGTCAACTTTTCCCCAATAACCAAAACCCGACTTCACCTGCCCAGGTTACCTCAAAATCCATGAAAACCTCCACTGTGGATCGATTAGGCTCTCCTTTTTAACCATACTATACAACGACTGATCAACAATACGAGTTTAGCCCCCGTCGTTTCCCCTGTGACACGACTTTAGTTCTTGACCAATCGCTGATGGAATGTACAGTGGAACACTTCTGGAATCGCTTGGTTTTATATGACACAGAGGAATATTGGCGAAGCCTGTCTTATTAGGTTTCTTGTATAAACTGGTTTCATGGATATTAAGCTGGCTGAGTGACCAAATCACCACCGTTGGAAATGATGGAACACTCAAACGCTCACAACAAATCCCGGCGTTCCGCAAGGGTGCACACTTTATCCAACCCCATACATTATTTTGGATATTCAGGATGATAACTTTCCATGTGCGGCGCCAAGTGACAGGGTTGATGCAGATGGGGAGCCCATTGCGAGTCAACAGTCGGACTCCACAAACAAGGTGTGACCTAGGGGTTCCACGTCCGACTTCACTATTTCCCTATGATATTCATAGAGGAACCACGAGAATCTGATGCAAAACGATATTCCCAGGATGATTGAAACATTTTATTCGACGAATTATCTTTAGCCTTTGCTCAGCTGAACACGAACCTCAAAGTATCAGAATCGTGCCTCGGAGAAACGGTTTTAAATGTTTCAACCATTCTCGATTTGTTTAGCCCGACTAGCGATCGATTAACCAAGGTATAGTCAACATCCACTGGGAGGCAGAGGTAAGAGCCAAATCTCAGATGAAGACCAAAACGTGGAGAGATGCTTCAAGAGAATGTCTTCTCCTTGTCACCCCAAAGGTCATTTGATCGAGTTAGTTGAGATAACACACAAAACACACCTTTGTCTCTAGTCGAAAAATAGAACCTCTTTCAGCAAAAAAGTCTGGTGTTTGAGATTTATTTTCGACAAGTTCATTAAGGAAAATCGATAATTAGCGACTTTCAACCATTGGTTTTATAATATTCAAATCATATTTTCAGAGAATTAATTATGCCTGCCTAAAGAATACCTATTGTACATAGCGACATTCAATTTCGCTATGAAATAACAAAATTTTTCATTCGTCTCACAAAACAAATTGAGAACAACGTGGCCAACAAGCTCGTTTTCAGTTATTCGTAATCATGCCATTGCATAACGTTAAATTTAACTAACAATACGGGGAAACAAGGAATGATAGATTCGAACCCTATTGATTCAGCTCCCGCTCAAATCATGCGTGCATGTGTGCTTGTGTGAAACTGATTCCAGTGTCATAAGTTCAAGTAGTTGCACACGTGTTGAAGTGGATGAAATGGTCCAGGGGGAGATTAAGTGCTTGCACAAATTTCTTCTGGGCGCACAAGGTGGGCGGTGACACTGTGATCAATTTCACACAAGCACACATGCACGCATGATTGGCGCGGGAGCTGAATCAATAGGATTCGAATCTATCATTCCTTGTTAGTCATATTTAACGTTATGTAATGGCATGATTACGAATAACTGAAAACGAGCTTGTTCGCCTCGTTATTTCTCTAAATAACAAAATCTCATTCGATGCAATTCACCAAGAATGGCGAACTGTATAGGAAGAAATTTCTTAGCCAAATGATGTGGTTAGCTAATCATCGCCTAATTTGATGTGCGTGGAAAAATCCGTTCAGGAAGGTGAACACGAAACTCACTTGTACAACGCCTTGCCAGCATCAATTGTGATCCATTGTATGGCAAAATCCAACTGATGCAAAAGTGGAGATATACGAGAAGCCAAAAGACGGATCGCGCTGAAAAGAGTTTCCGGGTGTTGCCGAACGAGAGCGAAGAAACTGTCACGTGACATGATTGCGAGGACACTATTATCAGTTGTCTGCAAACTGAACACGTTGGTCTCGCCCGTGATCAAACCAAGCAAACCGACCAGCTCGCCAGGGTAACATACGAGCAGAGTCGAACTCTAGGAGTGCAGAGCGAGTGATACAAAAAGCAGGAGAAACAAATAACTATCAACAAAACGCGGACTGAAAATTAGCAACTTAGGAAATATACGACATATGAACCAACACAATCCTTGAGTAATGGTATGTAAACAAACCTCAGACGGACCGAAACTGCTGATGGACTGGACAGCGTGAATCTCCCCCGAAATAATGAAATAGATTTCCTTTGGCATTTCGCATTCTTCTGTCAATGTTGTTCCACTGGGCACTGAAGTCAAGATCAGATGGTCCTTCAGCATCTGAGGCCCTGGCAAATTTAAAAGATGGGATATGTCCTCCTGAACGGCTTCCATAAGTTTGGCATCTGCTTCCTTTCCGAGGTTCCACCACCGAGAAGCGGGACGAGAACAACCTGAAGATAGTGTCTCACCAACGGGAACTGTAGTCTCTCGGAGACTTTTTGGATTGTACTGTGCTTCAAGATCTTTTGTCGGGGTCGTCGGTCGAGAAATCAAGACACTCTTCTCCTTCCGAGCTCTGGATGGAGCCTCACCCAACTCGAGACAAATACCGCCACCGGAAGCACGTCGAACATTTGGATCGAAATCATGTTGAAATTCGTTAATAATCGGTGACAGGTCATCTGTATGATCATCCCCTAGATGCGGTTCGGGTTCAAACGATGGAGAAACTGAAAATGAAAGATGAGTGGCATACGTTAAACTCGGATCAAAGAAGTAAAACATGAAAGAGAACTCAATCGGGAATCGCGAGGTGAACGTTGCTCTCCATTGTTAAATGACCATTTGAACCGCACTGATTTTTTGCAAATATATCTACATCTACCTAGTAAATGCGCATCAGACAGGATTGAAATCCAAATCAACATAGCACGTAGTGGAATTTCGGTCAAAGCAGCAGACCGATGAGAGAGAACTAGTAGATCAAATCGAGGACGCCGGAAATTTAGCTTTTTTTGAACAACCATTGTGTAATTCTGTGATGCTTGTTGTTGTCCATGGTGGTAAATGATCAAACAAGTGTTGCGTACAGTGCAAAACAAACGTACAATCATGGATGTAAAAAAACTAAGTGAAAAGAAGCGGGAGTGTAAGTGCTTGGGTATGGTGTGACGTATACTAAATGCGCAACGCCGGACTAAGTTGTACTGCGCCTCTCGCTATAAATATTACATGGTGACAAGATACATCGCAAAATGAGTTTCAGTTAGACCTGACAACTAACATAATAGGTCACACAGAGTGAACACTACTCACCATTCTCCGCAGCGATTAAAACTAGCATTGCTATATTGGATGGCCATCCGAAACGTTCCGGACCGAAAATGATAACAAACGCTAAACCCGAAACACTGGTTTTACAGCCATCCAAACGTACTAGGAGCAGAATCTAAACCGGTGCTTATCGGTGAACCTGCTGGGGAAGCTAGATAACACACGATTCAAGTCGAGTTACAATTGTTGTCGTGCAGGTTTCAGATAATGTGGCAACCGTAAGTGCATTAACATCACACCATTTTTGGTTCATCTGGTCCACAGTATCTCCACCCACACACATGTTTTCCCATGACGATTAGGCGTGTTCCTTCAAGGAGAGAAAATATCACATCTTTAGTTGTGGGAAACCCACTGGTTACCCCCACCCACCTACGCCGAAATCTGTACCTACCAGTGACTTAGTTTTCATGTCATACCATGATTTGAGGTAGCTATGTACCTTGATAACTCTAAGGCTATCAAATTTATTATGTACTTGATGCTAAACCAAAGTCTAGCTGTGACAAGATGATTTAACTTTCACAATCATCCATTTATCACACATGCGGTTCGGACCAAACATTTGAATAAATCTGCCAATTGGATTTGATAGCAACTTGTAAATGCACCATGTGCACGGTGGGGAGATAGGTAGTGCGTTTCATGAAGGGCAAAAATCGTTGTATCTGAGCCAAGCAAATGGTCAAAAGGTTTTGTGTTCGAGCCACACCATCACTCCATTTATTTGCATCACATGGCATTCTTCGCACTGGTTGCTTCCCTCTTCCTAAGAAACTGTTTATACAGCTATGTTAAAAGTAACCAACATCATGTATATTTTTCAACGTGACATATGTTCATCCTCCGACATGATTTGTAAGATGCTGATCAAGATCAGGGCAAAAAACCGCATATAGTGAGTTGGCGTGACGTTAGTCAGAACCGGAATCAACGATTCAGCTAAAGAACGTAATAGAACGGGAGATGCTCACCAAACAAATCACTGAAGTTGGTTATGTTCTCAGTCACATTTGGGGGCTCCGTCGTTTTCTCAGCAATAAGTTCAGCAAATACCTGCTGCGACTTTGAAGCGATACGTTTGGACGTCTCCTGAAAGAAGAATAGGACATCGTGAATAGGCTAAATAGCAGAGAATTGGGATGCAGACGGAAGTTGAGATTAGCTGTACTATCAAACTCTACACTTAATACTATGCATTCCTTTTCAGCTTTGTCATACAGGATGTTCTGCAGAACGCTTTGTCCGGTCTAGCAAACGGTGGGGTTGAACTCCTCCCAGGGAACAGAGTTCTTGACTCGGAATATGCTGATGACATCGCCTTGCTGGGTGACAACTCACAGGCAGTCCAAGAGGCTCTGAACCGCTTGACGATCGAGGTATCCAGATATGGTATGTGCTTTGC